GAATAATGCTATTGTTTTGTTATATTTTGCTGGTAATATTGTTTATCGTGTTATTCAATCCGTATCGCTCCTGCTTGATGAAACATTGAAATGGTTTAGGCAGAATGGTTACAGCTTCACCTGCAATTGTAAAATTGAACTGAGAAAGAGTGCCCCAAAGGCTATCGACTTAGAGCACATATCAAAAGGGAAAACTTTCCAAAAATGCCCCCGCATAAAGACATGTAGCTTCTGTATGATGCCGACTGACCAGGATGTGAAAACTTCGAATCGGAAACGTGGCTACCTTAATCCTCTCTCCATTCTGACAAACCTCTACGCTAATTCCCGATGTCACTGTGTGTAATTCGACTATAAACTGGCATTCATCTGCAACTTTTCGCCAAGGCGCAAGAGTCTAGCAGGCTGCACGGCGACAGCGAAGCACGAACAAGGTTCATCATAATTTGTGTAGGCAACCTGAAGGGAAAAAGTCCTTCGTAAGTATGAACTTCCCAGTGGCGTATTAGTACAGGAAGTACGAGTATATTGAAAATACTGTCATGATTTATGCGTGACCATAGACTGGGTTCCGGTAAGTGACTCGATTTATTGACCACTTACACGCTCAGGACTCGTGACTACACTTACAGATCACTGACACATACAGACTAGTGTCCTCAGTCTATTACAGTCTCGAGTAGCCGTTTCCTGGCAACAGATTTTAACACAGGAACTATAACAGCCTCACTGAATTACACACTCCAAATATCGCACATAAAGCTTTCTATTCGCAAACGCACCCTTGCAACTAATTCTTTTATTCACAGCCTCACATACAGAACTGAATTCTCCACCGACTGACTGAACTCACTCCTCATTAACTGTCCTGCTTATAACATCTCGGCACGGAATACATGGAAAACACCGTTCTTCCATTGTTGCCTTCGTGTCCGTTCCCGCGGGAACGTTTTTATCGAGCCGTCTGTAAAAGAACTGTCAAAATTACTTAACCCCTATTTTTCTTCAACTGACAACAGAGCAGAGTAATGATCATTGTCTTGTTCATTTCTAAACAATACACACATTTCTTTCAATCATAATTTGATCGACTGTTGCTGCCGGTGGTTGAGTGATTTGTCCTTCAGGTAGCTAACAATTAACACTCACAGACACGATATGAATTTCACTATTAGCTATTATTTTGACATTACCAACATATACTCCTTTATCCCCACGTACATTTTGTAATCTTCCTTTGTATTAATACGCACATTATTCTGAATGATGTCAAACGCGACACATGGGCGGAACCTTCGAAGCAGACAGCTACCTCCTCGGGCTAGAATTTCCACAGATAATTCCTCCGTTAATCCACTTTTATACATTAAATCACTATTCAACGAATGCTGCAATGACTCAAGAATACCTACTTCTCACTGCCGCCTGGCGGCATTGTCTGTAACTACTAACAAGAACAAATTATACATAGTAACAGGAGAATATTGACAGAATGAGAAGCTTTAGGCCTTTGTGTATACAGATGGATCACTACATTGCTAAATGACTTGTTCATAATTCTCTTTAGCCACACGATTTTCGTAAGCTGAAATATTTTAGAGAAAATCAGACGCCGAAAATGTTCCAAACATTTTTCATTCCCTCTTGTAACTGCCATACAATGAACAGGACTCAGATGAAACCTCTGAAAGGCACTTTCCATATCTGCAATTCCCTGCCGACTATAAAAGTGCTTTGTGCGCTGACAGCAGGTTCTGCATGCCCCATTCATAATTCAACCAATATTGGCAGAATCCTCGCAAGTTCACGGAACTCATCAACTGATTTCCACTGTTTGAATTGTAATCGATTCATGTAATTTGTGGATGAAATAATAGTCTGCTCAATTTGTCAAATTAGTTGCATGCATAGGAGGATTCCAAAATATTCACTAAATTAAAATCTTCAAAGGCTAAGGGAATTCTAGAAGAAATGTTTGTTATAATACAGTGCGTTTTTCAATTGATTTCATACTCTAAATGCAGACCACTTTATATTTCCCTTATTAATCAGTTTCATGAAGAATTACAAAATTTCACCAACTCTTTGCCAAGCTTCTGATATTAGAACGTACTGCAAGATTTATACATAATTTCATATGGCAAATACTGTTACCACGTGACGAAACAGGTCAGCTAACATTCAGATCATCGACCTGCGTTGTAAGTAACTAATGCCATGGAGCTGAGAACTTTGAGAAGCCGCCAGTCGCTCAGCTACTTATGAATTTCCCAACACGTTTTTTGGAAACCGATGGTTTAATACTGTGTTCACAAGAGCCTCAACTGGTTCTATCCTGAACCAGTTGAATCCAGTCCATACCACCCTCTCTTTCCAGCAAATTCCTTGTCATGTCGTCCTCCTTGTCTTGATCATTCTAATTATATTTGGCGAAGAATACATTTTATGAAGCTCCTCATTATGCAGTTTCGTCCGCTCTCGTAACACTTAATTTCTCTTCGGTCCAAATATTCACCTCACCACTCTGTTCTCAGACACCTTCAGTCTATGTAAGTAAAAGGTAAAGCTATCCCTGTAACAGGCCGCGAAGGCCCATAGGGTTGTGAGACGTTGTGGGTCCCACATTATCTAGACAATCGGCTCAAAGATGGCGGTAAGGTTGTCAGCCTTACGCGCCGGCCGCGCTTTAATCCCCGGGAAAATTATTTATTTAATTCTTGGTACTCATTTCTGTTAGAGGCTGAGTGAACCCCAGGGCCTAGTGCGGCCGGAAGGATTAGGTCAATTGAAAAAATCCAACCTTCAATCTATGTTCCTCCCTTAACATCAGAGATTAATGTTCACACCCATGCATAACTACAGGCAACAGCATAGCTCTGAATAATTTAATCTTTACTTTTTCGAAAGCAGACGAGAAGACAGAACGTCGACTTGCCTTGCTCTTCTTCTCAACTCACGACACGCACACAACAATATTGTGGCTCCGAGTTCGTATCGAGCCCGGGAGACCTGCTTCGCATTCAGGAGGTCTCGGAGACCGCTTATTCAGACTCATGTCTTCTGCGTTTTACCTCAGTCTCTACTGTTTCTTCCACAACTCTGCTAGTTCATCATTCAGACTCATTGTGTAAGGTTTGAGGTTTTCATGGCGGTGACGACTATGAAGAATGCCGTCTTCTGGGATGTGGTGCCGTGTAGATGTTGTGTGAACCGAAGTTTCAGAGGAACTTATCGTACTATAGCTTGCTTGTTAGACGGGACCCAGCGTTAAGGTTGGTATGGATAGATTTACGGTACACTCTATGGCCCAGAGAACCGTCGGATCCCCTGTAAGAATCTATGTTAAGGAAGGGGAGGTAGCCCTCATTTCGGTCTACATGGTGAACTGGATGCACCAGTCTGTAGCCATCTGCTCGCGGATTTTTCAACCCTGAAGATGGAAGCGATAAGTTACTCCGGAACGTTGGTTCACACAAGAACTACACGACGCCACATCCCAGAAGATGGTGTTCTTCATTCAGAATCACTGCTTATCACCACCAAATCAAAATACTTCATCACATTGTTCGTCAGATCCTGCTTCTTAATCCTGTCCTAAGCCACATGAATCCACTCCGTACCTTCACTCACCTTTCTTTCAAGATCCTATATTATTCAAGTGGGTTCTTTCTTTATGGTATTTTGACTAAAATTATGCAAGCATTATCTCCCCACGCAATCATGATACGTAACCTTCTCGCTGTACTTAACTTGATCATCCTAACATTTAATTAAGAGTAGATATTATTAACATTTTCGTAATTAATACACCAATATTACTGTATTAACATTTGTTTAGTATGTATACTTGCTACATGTTTCAACCCAGCTGCCTCATCATCACAAACAGAACAACAGGAGAGGACCAACTGCTAATAGCCAGAAAACGTGGCCCTCTCTATACAGGACACGATAACTTTACCAGTCGCTCGAAAGGAAAATAGAACATAACCTCACTTACATACGGAAAACCGCAACGTAGTATTTGCACAAAGAATTAAATAGCAAAGCAGACTGCCAGAAGACCTCCTCTACTCTACGATACAACACCGCAGACTTGTGCTTCACGCTAAACTAACAGAAAGAAAATGTTAACTTTTAACTGAGTTATAACGTTTTACAATTTATAACTAATATTAAAAAATATATAAAGAAACACGGGAATTGTAACGAAATATATATTATTAATGATCACTAATATAGATCCACATTAGGAATACAATTCAATAAGGAGTAGTACGCTATATCAAAATTCCCTAACGATGATCCTGCTGGATCGAAACATGCAGCAAGTATACATAATAAACTAATGATAAACAGTAATATTGGTTTACTCATTACAAATTTGTTGTGTTAACGGTTGTATATTAAGCCATGTTAGGTGGGTCCCTGTCACCGCGGCATGGCGCGTCCGCAGGTTGCGGATGGAGGAGACGCCCTCCAGTTTTGGAGGGAAGCTGCGAATATATTGAATAAGCAGGCGCGGACAGCCGAAAAGGGGTGGCCCTCCAGCTTTGCGGTTGGGCGTGAGGCTAACAACTCCTCACCGTAAAAAATCATTATGTTACGAAAATGAACACAAAGTCTCGGCCCTGAACGGATTCCTTGGATAAAAAGGTCATGTAGAACGAATGGGGGAGACGAGAAAAGCGTATAGAATATTTGTGGGAAAACCAGAAGGAAAGAGACCACAGGGAAGACGAATGTGTAGGTGGGTGAACAATATTAGAATGGATCTTACAGAGATAGGGTGGGATGGTATGGATTAGATTGATCTGGCTCAGGATAGGGACCAGCGGATGGCTCTTGTGAACACGGTAATGAATCTTCGGGTTCCATAAAATGCTGGGAAATTCTTGAGTAGCTGCAGAATTGGCGGCTCCTCAAGAAGGGCTCAGCTCCATGAGTAAGTAAGTAATAATACACAAAAGGATGCAAGCAATAAAAATGATTAACCTTACCGTGTAATTTATCAAAACTCCTGTCATTTCCTCTCTCTTAAGTCCAAATATTCCTCTCAGCACTTCGTTCTCAGACGCCTGAATTTCTGTAATTCCTTTGGGGCCGGAATCCAAGTTTCACATCCATACACTTACATACACTCCTGTTTCTTCCAAAAGCAGGGTTTGTACTCCCGTTACAGAAATACCGATCCACCCATTTGACTCCTTTGTAGTTTAGGAAGTGTCCAGCTCTGCTTAAAAACGTTAAACAAGCCTTGCCTGGAGTGACAGTAAGGCTCATGAATCGAAATGGGTCTCAGCGAAATATGAACTCAGCCCTTCATGTGATACTGTGGTCAATTGTAAGAAGCAACTTAGTTGTTTATATCTAAGAATAACGCGAGAACATAAATTCATTCGAAAGTTGATTTGTACAGTTACATAGTCCAGCCAGCACTGGTGACTAGACTGCGGCCTGGGCGACCGCGGGGTTCGGGTTTGATTCTCAGCAGGGATAAGAGACTCGTCTCTTCTCCGTAGCGCTCAGATCGGCTCTGGGACCCATCCCTTCTCCTATCCAATGGGTAATGGGGGTTTCCCGAGGGTAAAGCGGCCGGGGCTTGAAGACGATCACTTACATCCTTCTAATGCGGGGGTTAAGACAGCATTAAGCTTTAGCCCGATTCTCCCATGCCTCTTCATGGCGTTGCGCTCAGCTAAACAAAAGGAAGAACTTTGTGTCTATCTTATATTATTTTTAGTCATTATTTTCTTTTTTGAAATGACCAGATTTTAGGCCCATCTATTGAGAAGATGACAAGGGCGTAATAAATACAGAGTAGAAAGGTCGGAATAGCAGCTGTTCTATAAAGAGATGCCACGCTGATTGCAAAGAAATTGTTTCTTCACAAATAAGACGACATCAGACGCGTTTCCATTCTCGTTTGTATTGGAAGAAACAATTTTCTGTTTGTATATTTATGTGCAAGATATTGTTGATGTTACGCACACAGTTCCCATAAACTTCTTAGAAATGACACGAAACATTCTTTTCACTGTTCCCAAACAAAAAATTAATTCAAGTAAAAATATTTAGTGTTTCATCAACTTCAATTATATTTGTCACTGTATATACCAATCGATTTAACATTTAGAAAGTTCTGAATTTTTTTCACAGGGTGTATAAATGTTCCACGTGATTCTCGAAGTAAACAGAGACTATTTCCCTAAACAGAATTGAGCGATTGATATCAACATTAAGAGATGCAGTGTCTTTTCTGTGAGATAGGAAGTAATGTTGTAATTGTATTATTTAGATGAATTTCATAATTATTCATAGTATGGGAAGGGTTAAATGTTGGTCATCCACTAACTGACAAGCTAAATAACTAATTCCATGAAACATGTTCCTTTTTAAGATGTTAATATTCCCAAGCCAGTAAGAAATTCCCATGTTATGGAACCAGGAATTTCACTGCCGTGTTCAGGACAGTCCACTACTGGTTCCTGTTCTAAACCCAATGAGTCAAACAGACACTTCTGTATATAAGTTCTTCAATTTCTATATTCCCACATATGCTTACGGTTGTTGGCCTTCCCACACTCACTGAAAATGTTCGGGTATGAAGGTAGTGACACGGGAACTTACTTGTACATGTGACATTGTGGACGTGTGACTGACTACAGTGCGTCCTTGCCGCAGGGTAAGTTGCAGATGCCGAAGGCAGGATTGCCACTGACACAAGACACTGCCACCTTTCACCGGGAGAGCACGCCGTTACTCTGAACAGCAGAGCATGCCGTACCGCACGGCCGTGTCGCACAGTGCCGCTTGCTTGCTGTCTGCATCGCACCGACTGCGGGCGGAGAGGAAAAACTCTCACTTTGTTTCACTTTCTGAGCGTCTTATTCGTGGAAATATCATTCGGCAAAATTAACTTTCCACATTTATCACCGTTTCGCTCATTATCGGTTTCTTTGTTTCTATCGCGTGGTTTCACTGTTTCATAAGACACTTCGAACAATCCAAGTTTACAGCATCAAGTAGAAATTTTATAATCTTCCTTATAGATACTTGAAATTACAAAGAAAACAAACTCGACATTTCTAGACTGCAGGAAAGAGAAATTCACACAACGTATTGGTAGAACGCCTGAATAAAGGAGGTCGTTTGGAAGATATGTACATACCAAGAGGCGAGGATAATATTAAAATTAATCTTAAAAATTAGTATGCATAGACATTATAGACATTTCAAATTACAAAGAAAACAAACTCGACATTTCTAGACTGTAGGCTTACTTTTCGGCCCTAAAAATGGAGGCTATATGATTCTCCGAAACGTCGAGTTAACTTCGAAATATATAGTTTCGCGACTCAAGGACACGTACCATTTACAGTTGCCGCCATGACAACATCGAATTCAACTATAGAACACTTCCTCTCTTGTTTAAATCAGGAAGTACTTCAGATGCTGTTATTTAACGTAGGTGCCATGCGCATGCGTCTTCGCTTGAAGACTTCAATGCAGTAATTGACAGACGGGGATACAACACAAAATATAACTTCCTTACTGTGTAGCCAAACATTTGTCGGTTCGGAAGCCGTAAACTCAAAGCCCGAGATTGTGTTAAAGTGCTGTCTGCTAAGATCTATCTCCCATCAGGGAGCCGTGGCAGACAAGTATGATGCCATGGTAGAATGATGATTAGGGGAGTAAAACAGAAGAGTACCCAAGTGCCATTTCATCTGCGAACCTCACAGGATTTCATCCGGGACTGAACCCGAGGTTCTGCTGTAAGAGGCAAGAGCTCAACGGCCTGAACAGCGACACGAACATATATGGACATAACATAACATAGCTTCTACTTGAATCACTTTTAGCTGTTGGTTATATAAATTACTTAAAATGATATCAGCATTAATGTTATTAAGCTAAACTCTGTCCAACTTACCACACAGTCTCGCCCTACAAAAATTTGGTACATGACATGGCATGAAAAGTGTTCAGATCCAAAACTCTGGAAATTGAAAGGGGAAAATAATTGATGCCGTAAACTGTGGTGGACCCTATTGAGTATTGAGGGGGTGGGTTACCCCATGCACCGCGACCAGTTTGATCTATTGTGCGTCCCCCTTTGAATTTCTACTGTCTCCATACCCTACAGATACTGGTGCTTGCTATCGTTCCCTTTCTGCCAGAGAGGTTTGGCCTTCTACTGGCAGTGGTATCTGATAATTAGTCCCTTTCTATCAGTGAGGTCGTCCCTCCTCTGGCAGTGGTACCTAAGCTTCTCCATCTACCGGAGGCATTGGAAACTACTTGGGCGGGAAATTGCCTAAATTTAGCTCAGAGGTCTCCTAGAGACATGGGGTTCTTTTAAGTGCCGTAAATCTACGACACGGGACCCACGGCTTAAAGTCCCTCCCGGTGGACTTGTTCCCTGAATTTTTCCGCCCTTAAAAATTCCACGACCTCCGCCGGGTTTGAACCCGCGTACCTTGAGTAATGAGGTGGGAACGTTACCCCTAGACTACGGAGGCCGCTCATGGTGGACCCTAAATATAGCATGATTTTCCATTAAAGAGTACGCTTGTGTTTGCAATAAATAGACATCAAGGCCGATGAGGTATACAGAAGAATAAACAGCATAGACGTATCTGTAGAAAATATTTGCTACAATCGAATATATATTTCACTCTTGCTTGATGCCAATCTGAGTCCATCTTGAACAGCCAACAGTCGCTTAGCTACCCAAGCAATTACCACGATTTGATGGAACCTGAAGGTTCAAAAGACCCCACCAATGGTCTCTACCCCGCGCGAGAAGAATGGAGTTCACATTTCCCTATCCAATTCCTTTAAGCTTAATTTAATTTTTTATCCCACGTACACGTATGTCTTCCTACTATTTCTTTCCTTCAGGTTTTCCTGTTCTTCTCTGCGATGAAAGCTACGTGTTCTGTCCATCTTGTCCGCCTTAATTTAGTACTCTTTGATGACCAGTGCTAATTAAGAAACTCCTCATTATGCAGTTGTATGCAAACTCCTGTTACTTCATTTCTTTTGGATCCACATATTCTCCCCGCAGCCTCTTTTGAAACGACCTCAATTTACACTTTTCTCTAATGTGAAAACCGGATTTAACACCCACACAAATCTACAAGCAGAATTATAGATTTTATAGAATTTTCCGATCGCAGTGGCCGCGTGGACTAAGGCATGAACTGTCTTCGACCGCATCAACACTGAGATCTTGGGTTCGAATCCCACTTCAGGCATGGATGTCTGTGTGCGTTTATTCTGTGTGTGTAGGTAGCAGCCTTGCGATGGGCTCATTCCCAGTCCAAGGGATTCTACCGTGTATATATGATTAAAAAAATGAAAAAGTGGCCGAAGCCCAACAAAATGGCCGTAGAGCCATAGATAGATAGGCCGTATTTCAATTTTTAGTTTTATGGATAAAAAAAATGAAATTGTACCCTGTGCTTAATAAGTTAAGCACTAAGCCATAAAGACATATGGGGGATTGCGGCTATAGTTTCACTTTTCTTGAACTCGGCACTAGATGGAGGTAAGTAGTCAGCTTCACGCCCCAGCCGCCTTACCCCCGGAGAAAGAGTGCACGGTACCTACAGGATAGGAGACTAGGCCGGTCCTAGAGTCAGTCTGGACGCTGTGGAGAAGAGAGAAACTTTGCACTTCCGGGGATCGAACCCGGGCCGACCAGCCCGTAAGCCCATCGCTATACCAACTCCTTTAGCTTAATGGATAGTACCATAAAATAGGAAAGATTCTGAAATGAAAGGTAACCAGCACTCGCGAATTTAGTCTGTTCTTGGTTTCTTCATGCAAACAATTTTGATCTGTTAGTGTCTTTTCCAAATACTGGAAATTTATATAATTTTCAAAAGATCTGATAGGCATTCTTATATTACTCTTTTTGTCTGCAGTACACCGACGAGTTATCATTATGCATTTAGTTTTCTTTGCGTTTACTTCCAGATTATCTATGTTATTTAATTAAATGAAAGCCTCTTAGTTTACGAATGGATTGAGATTGGAGTTGGTACAGTGGATTTGTACTTGCTCCAATAGACTGTTATCTACAAAGGACATTAACATGTAGGGCCATGGAATATAAAATTCCTAAGCAAAACATACATCCAAATTCTGCACAATTCGTATTTATTGTACATGTGCCCATTCTTGCAGTATTCTGTTCTGCT